CCAGGCCTGGGGTTGGGGCCCGTGGGCGAGCGCCTGGTGGCCGGGCCTTCGCCCATGGGCCCAGCCCGAACCGGCTACATGGGCTCGTTCACCTGCAGGCCCACCACCCGCAGAGTGATCCAGAAGGGAGTGGTGCATTGTGGATCGGGCAGCAGACCAAGGCGGGGGCCTTGGCGGTCCGATCCTTGGTTATGGAAGTTGGCTCTTGGGACATGGAATGTCACCTCTCTGGCGGGGAAGGAGCCAGAGCTTGTGGAAGAGGTTGAACGTTACCGGCTAGATATAGTCGGCCTCACCTCGACACATAGTTCCGGCTCTGGAACCCGAGTCCTTGAGAGGGGTTGGACTCTCTCCTTTGCTGGAGTTGTTCCGGGTGAGAGGCGGAGGGCCGGGGTGGGCTTTCTGATAGCCCCCAGACTCTCTGCCTGTAAGTTGGGGTTCACCCCAGTAGACGAAAGTGTTGCTTCCCTGCGCTTTTGGTCGGGGAATGGGTCCTGACTGTTGTCTGTGCTTATGCACCAAACAGCAGTTCAGAGTACCCGCCCTTTTTGGAGTCCCTGGGACGGGTGCTGGATAGTGCCCTGACCGGGGACTCCATTGTTCTGCTGGGGGACTTCAACGCTCATGTGGGCAATGACAGCAGGACCTGGAGGGGCATGACTGGGAGGAATGGCCTGCCCGATCTGAACCCGAGTGGTGTTCAATTATTGGACTTCTGTGCGGGTCGCAGTTTGGCCATAACTAACATCATGTTCGAGCATAAGGATGTCCATCGGTGCACGTGGCACCAGGACAGCCTAGGTCGCAGGTCGATGATTGACTTTGTAGTCATATCATTTGATCTGCAACCATATGTTCTGGACACTCGGGTGAAGAGAGGAGCAGAGCTGCCAACTGATCACCACCTGGTGGTGAGTTGGATCAGATGGCAGGGGAGGACGCCGCGCAACTTGCTCACACTGTTTACAGTGGTGGGGGTGAGGAGCTGCTGACGTCAACTGGGGACATTGTCAGGCGGTGGAAGGAATACTTTGAGGAGCTCCTCAATCCCACCAACACGTATTCCAGTGAGGAAACAGAGCCGGGGGTCTCGGGGGCGGGTCGTCCAATTTCTGGGGCAGAAGTCACCGAGGTAGTGAAGCAACTCCGCGGCGGCGGAGCCCCGGGGGTGGATGAGATTCGCCCTGGATATCTCAAGGCTCTGGATGTTGTAGGGCTGTCCTGGCTGTCACGCTTCTGCAACATTGCGTGGACATCAGGGGCAATGCCTCTGGAGTGGCAGACCAGGGTGGTGGTCCCCATCTTCAAGAAAGGGGACCAGAGGATGTGTTCCAATTACAGGGGGATCACACTCTTCAGCCTACCCGGTAAGGTCTACTCCAGGGTGCTGGAGAAGAGGGTCCGGTCGATAGTTGAACCTCAGATTGAGGAGGAGCAATGTAGTTTTCGTCCCGGACGCGGAACCGTGGACCAGCTCTTTACCCTCGCCAGGGTGCTGGAGGGGGCATGGGAGCCAGTCCACATGTGTTTTATGGATTTGGAGAAGGCTTATGACCGTGTCCCCAGGGGCATCCTGTGGGGGGTGCTACGGGAGTATGGTGTTGGTGGCCCCTTGCTAAGGGCCATCCAGTCCCTGTACCGAAGGAGCACGAGTCTGGTTTGCGTGGCCGGCAGTAAGTCGGACCTGTTCCCGGTGACTCCGCCAGGGCTGCCCTTTGTCACCGGTTGTGTTCATAACTTTTATGGACAGAATTTCTAGGCGCAGGAGGGTGTCAGGTTCGGTGACAGGAGGGTCTCGTCTCTGCTTTTTGCGGATGACATGGTCCTCCTAGCCCTCATCGTGGGATGAGAATCAGCACCTCCAAGTCTGAGGCCATGGTCCTCAGCCGGAAAAGGGTGGATTGCCCACTCCAGGTCGGGGGGGAGGTCCTGCCTCAGGTGGAGGAGTTTAAGTATCTCGGGATCCTGTTCACAAGTGAGGGTAGGATGGAGCGGGAGATTGATAGGCGGATTGGGGTGGCGTCAGCAGTGATGCAGGCGCTTAACCGGTCCGTTGTGGTGAAGAGGGAGCTTAGCCAGAAAGTGAAGCTCTCGATTTACCGGTTGATCTACGTTCCAACCCTCACCTATGGTCACAAGCTCTGGGTAGTGACCGAAAGAATGAGATCGCGAGTTCAAGCGGCCAAAATAAGTTTCCTCCGCAGGGTGGCTGGGCTTAGCCTTAGAGATAGGGTGAGGAGCTCAGACATCCAGGAGGGACTCAGAGTACAGCCGCTGCTCCTCCACATCGAGAGGAGCCAGTTGAGGTGGTTCGGGCATCTAGTAAGGATGCCTTCCGGACGCCTCCCTTGGGAGGTGTTTCGGGCATGTCCAACTGGGAGGAGACCTCGGGGCCGCCCCTGGACACGCTGGAGGGATTACATCACCCGGCTGGCCTGGGAACGCCTCGGGGTTCCCTCGGAAGAGCTGACAGAAGTGGCTGGGGAGAGGACTGTCTGGGCTTCTTTGCTGAGGCTACTGTCCCCGCGACCCAGACCCGGATAAGTGGAGGACGACGAGTATGAGTACGCATATAATATTGCTTTGTTTTATTGTTGTCCTCAGATAATGTCTTTTCTATGGTCAAATAATATGTCATCAGTCCTTTTCAAGTCTGTAAAATAGTGGCCCCTGTTATTTTCCCCAGTGTTTTAAAATGATTATCAGCAAGGGAAGAAAACATAATTTGTCATCCTGTTGGATATCTTATTTATTCTTGAAAAAATACACAGCTCAGCTGCAATTTATTTTATTCCATAATTTTAATGTGCTGTTATAGACAAAATGAAATACTTTCATATTGTTTTACTTAACAGACATGTAAAAAGGTTGTTAGGCTTTCGTTTTTTTGCTTTCAATATTTATCCAGGGCTCTTCAGCTGCGTTATTAATTATGTGATCTATGTAAAATGTCTGTGAGTCATAAAAATACAGTTCTAAATTTGGAAATTTAAGACCTCCCTCTGTTCTTGGATTTTGAATAAGCATTCTCAGCTGATGTGCTTTATTAGACCAGACAAAAGAGTTCAGAGAGTCAGACAAAGACATATTTTGGGGGGATTAATGTTATAGTTTGGAAAATGATTATAAAAAACAAGTGTCACACACTCTTGCTCCATATGCATTTCTTTTATTTTGATGATGATGATGTTGATGATGGACCTCAGGCCTTCTTCAAAATCAGCAATCATACTGAGACACAAGTACACATGACAGATCAGTGTGTCTCAGTATGATTGGTGATCTTGAAGAGGGCCTAAAGGCAGAAATGTCATCATCGAAATTAACGAAATGCAAGTAGAGCCAGAGTGTGTGACACTTATTTTCTATAATCAAGTCTACTGCCAGTGATCAGCACCTTGTAATAATTTTTGGTGTGCGTTAGTTTTATATTTTAAATAGTTTGTAAAATAAAAAGAAATTTAGGCAACCATATCATTCTAAATTTATCCTTCCCATCACATTTATAGGCAAATCTAACCATTTGTCTATGCTATTTTGTAATTCATGAATTATGTCATGGTGATGTCATATACATCTCCCATCAGTAAGTGCTGACTGCTGACTCAACCTGAAGGCTCTAAATAGAATAAAGGACTCCTACTGGGATCTTTCTGGTAGTACCTCTTGAGTGCCTGGAGTGCACCTCCCTCTCTCCTACTTCTCCACACTGATTAGATGTATTACTCTGTGTTAGAGGCTCCTCATTATCTTTATGTTGTCAGACGTGCTTAGGGTTTAGATTATTTGTACACATTTACACATCCAGCAGACACAGAGTGACATTATCATTGATTTGGAGTTTTGTTTGTGTCCAACTGATAAAGGTATGAAAGCTGCTAAATGCTCCACTATGTTCACCAGCTAGTCTCTAACTTTGTCTGCCTGCTGTGTGCTGCTCAGCAGGTAGTGTACAGCTTCCTGCTGCTGCTGCTGCCTCTGCTGGAAACCAGGTTGCTGAGACTGAACCAAACTAGTGCTGTGAGCTGTGAAACCAAAACAATGAGCTGAAAGAGGCTTAAATGCTCTTTACAGCTGAGACAGCTGAGAGGAACTGCAAAGTCAGTGATGATTCTCTGTGGCTTTATCACCATGAGTGACCCTTTTCACGGTACATAAGTTTTAATATAAAAACATTACAGCTTTGACGGGATACTTAAACCACAAAATCATCATTTGCTTATTAATAACTCACCGTGTGTTACGTTGAATTCATAAAGAAAAATTTGTTTTTCTCTCATGCCTTCATGGTGAACAGAGAATCCAAAAACGGCGAACATTCTTGAGGAAATGAAGGGGCTCATGTGTAACTACAGAAAAACTATACTAACGCATCCATTTACAAACTCTCACACAACTCGTGCAGTATAATCCAGGTCTCAATTATCCAGTCGTATGCTCAGTCCTTCCCAAACATGACTTTTAACTGAAACGTGTGTTTGAACTCTGCTCATTCATTTCAGTGCGCAGAGTTTAAACACACGCTTGCCCAGGTACACTACTCATCTGTGCATGAGACTGTTTATGTGGAAGTGTTTTATATTGTAATGTTTTAGTGAAAATGCATGTGTTTGGGAAGTACTGAGCACAAGACTGGATAAACGAGACTTGGATTATACTACATGAGTTGTGTGACAGTTTGTAAATGGATACTTTGATATAGAGTCTGCTGTTAAATGTGGTCCCCGTTTACTTCAGTTCATCAAGAATGTTCCTGTTGTAGAATTCTCCTTTTACCGTATAGGCATGAATTCAGTATAACCAGGGTGAGTAATTGATACAACTAATAATTTTGTGGGTAAAGTATTCTTTTAAATGTATTTTTTAATTGATCAGATTAAACATTGTAAAGTGTATTATTCCAGTGGTACACCCCAGACTCCATATGTTAATATGACAAAAACACATTGCTGGTCCAAACCCAGTAATATATGGAATAAACTGTCAGACATCATTATAAATGTTCTCACAATAGTTCCCTGATTTAATCTTCCCCAATCTGTCCCAAAGCATTTTGTTTAACTTCAATTTTATATGATCACAAACCATTCAAGTACGATTCTATGTGATTATGGCTATAGCCATGAGCTAAATGCATTATCTTCTTTTTCCATGAAGGCACACTCAGTAGTTCACATGAAACAAAGACAGGATAAAACTCACAAACAGAAAATGAAAAAGCTTAACCATCTTTAAATATTCTGTTAACACATTATTATTGAATTATTATTATTTACAAGGCCTTAGAACTATGTTGCATCATCAAATTGACTTGATCTGTCAGAATAAGACTTTGAGAGCCAAGAGGAACAACCAGTAAGAAAAAAAAACAAAACAAGACATACATGTGGCAAACAGGCATGTGGTTACTTATGGGTTAAAACTTTGAAGCATGTTGCACTCCTGCCTCTCACCAGCCAGTGACATTACAGCAGGTGTTTGTGTTTGAACTCCAAGGCCCAGTTAAAAAGTTAATCTGGATCAGAATGATCAACCAATTTCCAAGATTTGATCCTATCTGAAATCAGATCAGATCTAGCTGAAATCAGAATGTGTTGTTGAAAACTTTGTAGTAGGATCGGGATACCTTTGATCCAAAAAATGAGGATTATCCTGATCCCAGCAGAGGGCTGGATTTGGGGTGAATTTCCTGAACAAAATGTAATAAAACATTTAAATTGGTGAAATTCATATTAAGGCTGTCAGCACTGATGCGTTAATCATAAATTATGCTTTTTTTTCTTTCTTTTTTTTAAATAGCATTAATCATGTGCCACTATTTTGTCACTTCAAGACACCTTAATCAAGCCATCACAGTAGCTTCCTTCTTCCTGATGGAAAATAACAACACCACTGCACTTATGAATGGCTCCTTTCACTTAAAAAAACTTCCAGATGGCTCAGCTAACAAATCAAAAGTAATGTGCACCTTGTGTCAAATGGAATTAAAATATTCCCACAGTATGGCAGCTAACTGCAGACCAGTCAACATCATGGAAGACTCGGGTCTAAGGGATGTCCACAGGTTGGCATGTTGTCATGGTTTCAGACCACACTGTTGTAGCAGTGCAGCAGTGATTTGAAAGAAATTTATCTGAAATCCAAGATCATAAAGTCAATTTCTTTGCATTTATTTGATTCCCAATCAAGACACTCTGGCAAGAACTGCTTCACCCTGTTAGTATGGGCATCAAAACTATTTTGAAACACAATATAATGGAATGGAATTATTTATAATTTGCACTTGATTTGTTTAAGTCACTGTGACAAGTATGATAAATTAATAATAATAATGCTACATATTGAGTAACAAAGTACAATAAAGTTAAAAAAAATAAAAATTGAATGTCTCCATAAAATAATCCTATTAATAGCTGCCAAAATCAAACAAAAATTATTTTAAGGTATAATCTCAAAGATCTCTGTGTCAGGTCTCTTTGGCAGCGCCTACAGCAATGGGTTTGTTGGCAGACTGAATACATTGTGATATGTAGTCTCACTTAAAGCATTGGTTATGCAGATTTGGTCATTCTGACAAGTTTATATCTGGATCATTGTGGTCCAATCCATGATTGATTTGAAGAAAGTTAACGGCACAAAAGTAAGATGGATTAGCTGATCCTGAATAGCAAAACATGGGATTTCCAAATCCTGATCATTCTGATCCAGATTGATTTGTTGAAACAACTGGGCCCAGGATCAGAGCAGTTTTAATTAGCATTTAAAGAAATAATGATTTCAACAACTTGGTTATTTTTGTAGCTGTGGCCATCAGCCCTGCAGATTATGATAAAATTGTTCTATTGCTACATCATTAAAACAGTTCCAACATGGCAAGAAACACACAGTCAGACTGGTTTCAAACAAACGAGCAGATTAACAACCTTTTTCTCCTTTTTGGGGGGAGATAACAAGAGTGAGAACACTCCACACTAGTGTAACAAATTGCACAAGACACTTGGAAGTGTACACAGCTACAGCTGATCCAATAGGTCACATTTGAACAGAAAAGTGGGCTGTTTATAGGGATGCATGAAAATATCAGCAAATCATCAGTATCAGTCATTATTAGCTTTAAAATGAACAATTAGAATCTGCTGGTGGGTCATCACGTTAAGAGTATGCGTGTATAATATGATGTTAATTCCACCACAGAAGAGACCTGATAATCACTAAAATTAGGTTGGGAATAAAGCTGATATATTGTTATCGGTATCGGTCAAATAAGTTGGTGCATATTGGATATCAGCAAAAAATCCAGTATTAAGCATCACTATTTGTTTGGTTGTTTTGGTGTGTACAATGCTATCATAACCAATAAAACCAACAGCCAAATGTATTGAGATAAAACCAAAGCTGTTATAAACCAGTTTTTCTCTAAATCCTTAGCCGATACAGCAGCTGCTTCCAAACTCTCTACCCTGTTCACTCAGGCAGAGAAGTGTGTTGCAAGGCTGTTTGTACTTGGAAGATTTATCAATGAGTGAAACAACAGCAGAATGTTAGATAACAGTTAATATCATAGGGCTGACAAGTAAGAGAGAAGAGGAGGGAAAGACAAAAAGCTTCAAAAATCAAAAATGGTGTCAGGCGCACTGCAGGAAAAGCTTAAAATCATCCAGAGCTGAAGATACAGACAGACAGAAGATAGAAACTGATGACATCAGCGTCAACTTATAATGAATGCCAAGTCTTTATTAATGTAAGTAAGTCAGTGAGGTCATAGTCACCACACCTCAAATGATCACTTGTGCTTAGTTGGGTTTCATTTATCATCCATCTGTGTGTGGCAGGCTTTCACCACTGTTTTAGAATATACTAAAAGTGGGTCAACATACACCCATCAACCACAACATCAAACCACTGACAGGTAAAATGAATAACATTCATTAACTCGTTACAATGCAGTATTTTGCTGGGAAACCTTTGGTCCTGGCATTCACTTGGACGCCACTTGACTCACACCACACACCCAAATACTGTTATTTTTGGTTGCTTCTTTCTCTTGCCTTATCATGTCATCTGTCTTCCGCTTAATCACTGCTAATCTAATTGATTTAAACCCCCCAAAAAACTGGATGTCATTCAGCCCCAGCACACCCATCTTAATATAACCCTTGTTGGCAAAGGTCAAGCAGAGCCACTACGACGTGTTGAATGTGTGCATAGCATTGCAGTTTTCAAACAGCATTCCTGGTGTCACAGCAGCCATCCTCACTTTTGCGGGCAACCTGGTGAAGTCAGAGGGGAAGATTAGAACGGCTGGAAACCGACTGCCACTACCCAACCCATCCACAGCGGCTCCCAGGAGAAATGGAAACATGCACATGCTGAGGATGAGAGATGTGTGATTGGAACATAGAAGGGTTTGACAGGGCAGAAGTGAAGAGCCAAAGCCAACACATAAATTTCTTGTTAATTTAATTGAGTGATTCAATATAAAACATCATCAAAATGCAGGGAAAAGGAATAGATAAAGACTTCTGGCAAAGTGAGCACACGGCTGATCAGAAAGGAACATTTAACCTGAAGCAGGTAAACATCTCTTTCTGTAAGGACATCTGTAAACAAGTAGCTGTTTGACATGACAATAGACGTTATGGACTTTTAGCACCAATTTACTACACTGAGTCTAATTTAGGCTTCTATCATTTTTCTTCAGGATCATTTTGCTTTGGGTTTCCATGACAATCATCTCACTTAAAGGAAGAATGAAATTTATTCCAACTTTCAATTTTAGTTTTCGTAGCTCTGGACATGTCAGAAAACATTAGCAGTCGGACTGTCAGACAGGTTGGAAACAGGCTCATTCAGCTTATTCAGCAGATTATCTAAACCACTTGATTTGAAGGTTTAAACCACAAGTGAGCAAACATGCAATATTGTTAATAACCCCTCACTGCACAAGCAAAACGTGTAAGCACAACTACATTTACTGTTCACCTTTGTTTTTTTCCTCCAAACACATTTAGCCAACCTGAAGGTTTGTTTACAGTCTGATCATGTGCGTTGGACCTATTTGGCCTTGATCACACAGAAAGTGTTTTAGCAGCTGGATGTGTCTTTTTGTGATTGTACTTAATGAGAATAAAGCTTTTTGCTCGCACCTCGCATTTCTCCACTCTAGGTGCCTCGCGTTTTTGCCGGAGCACTCTGAACTCCTGGAGTCAAAAAAACTTCAACTCAGAGAAGAAAGTGCCCCACATTATCTCCACTTTTTTCCCCATTATCCAATCGGATGATTTGAGAGGCGGGCCTTCTGTGGTGGTCACGAAAACAAGTTTACAGTTGGTAAACAATGGAGGAGAAACTGGGGGTAGTGGCTGTTGCATACCCAGATCTACATTGCCTGACGATAGACAGCAGGTTGTCAAACTGCCCCCCAGTCACCCTAAAATATACCATCATGGAGACGAAGCTCTTGGTCCAACTGGTGGTACTGCCCTTGATCCACCCTCTTTTTTAGGGTCTCATGTACCCACACAGATCTCCGTTTCCCTGTGCCAAGAAACTATTTGTTGACAGCCTATCACCCTCAACCAGAGCTACAGCAAGTATCCTCTGCCTGTCCATTTTAGGATCTAACTTACTGTGAAATAAACAAAATAAATGAATGGTAGATTGATTACACGGGAAGGTTAGGGTAAGGAGATGATAGGGTGGTTTCCTGGCAGCAATAAAAAGGCACAGCAGGCGTTTTTTTTTTTTTTACTAGTGGCATTCAATTAAGGAAAAAAAAAGGCAGTGCAGTGCGCCTTGCGTTTTGCCACCTGCAAAACACTTTCTGTGTGACTGGGGCCTTTTTCACCATATTGCCATCATTCCAGATTTCCACAATCCACTTGGAGAGTACACAACAGTTATCACAAATGACAAGCAACAGAGCTACGGAAATTAAATTCAAGCTGTAATAAAGTTTTCCTTAAAGAGTCATTTAATAGGACCATACCAATGTTACTGCTAAGTTAATCAAAATCATGCTCATGTGACTTTACACCAAACCAGTAATATAAGCATGTTTTTCTCAGCATTCTGCAGTATTTTAGGTTAAAAGGTACACTTCACCTGCAAAGTGACCATCTGTATATCAGTTACTCACTTCATGTTACATTGAATTCACCAAGAAAACTCTGGGTTTTTTTTTTTTAATTGCATGCCTCCACGGTAAATGAAGAATCCAAAAACATTCGTCATGAATCAGAATCACTGGGGACCCCATTTCACAACAGCACAACTATATCAAAACATTTACTGACAAACTCTCACACAGCTTGTGCAGTATTATCCAGGTCTCATTTATCCAGGCGGATGCTTAGTACTTCCCAAACACATGCAATTTCACTAAAACATTACTTTTACTACTGATACACAGGCCCATGCTAAGGCATGCTCAGGGCACGCTTCTCACAGGCACAAGTTCTTTATATTGTAACATTTTAAGAAAATACATGTGCTTGGGAAATACTGAGCGTAAGATGGTTATACTGCAGGAGTTATATGAGAGTTTGTAAACAGATGTTGTGTAATAGTTTGGTGGTTGTTAAATGTGGTCCCCACTGACTTCATTTGTTGTTCATTGTTTGGTCTGTGGCAAAATAGGTCAACTGGCCCAATACTAACAAGCTGAAATGGGGCATATCTCCACCTATCATAGCAGAGACGGACATACTTAGGTCAATAAACTGAAACGCATACCAGTGCAGAATGGCTTGATTCGGCACGGGCCAAAAGTGATGGAGGAAAAGGCTCACAGTATTGGAGTGTTACTGCAGTGACTTCATTCATCTCACAGACTGATTTAGCATAGCTTGTGCAACATATAAACTGATGTCACACTGTAGACTAATGAACAGACAGATCAAACAGAGGAGCAGCTCTATGTCTCTCTGAGTGTTGCATGTGAACTTGGGAGTGAGCAGGCGGAGCTGTGTGAGTGTGAATATGAGAGGAGGGATGAACACTGGTATGCGTTATGTGACGCAACTTGACCCTATATAGATATAAACAGTACTGTCTAAATCTATATCTTGCTTGAAAATATATCGATGTATCGCACATAGTCGTTATATCGCCAAACCCTAATACTTACCTATGAGACTGCATATGTAACTTAACATATGTAAATGTAAAGTTGTCCACCATGGTACCAGTTTGCCACTAGCTAACCGTAGCTAACTTGTTTGTTGATTGTTTGGTCTGTGATGTAATGGATTCCCCTCCTGTGCTTGTATACTGGGACAAGGACAGTAGTCCAATCAAATGGCCCAGTTGAGTTAATGCCATAGCTCGACTTCACTGTGCATGTAAACGTACTGTATGTCTTCCATTATTTCTGTTGCAGTATAAAAATCAATTGACTATGAACTTGTTTATGTAAGGGCGTGGTCATAGCAAGCATTAAAGCTGCGTTTATTTAGATAAAGGTACCCTTTGGAGGTACAAACTAAACATCTGTTTACATTCAGTGTTTCTCAACAAAATCCACTTTGTGTATCTTTGAGGTGTCACAAACATGTTGAATCCATTTCCTTCTTCAGAAGACATTTTATTACATTGGCTTGCGGTCTATTTTTGCCTTGCCTTTGTTGGCACATTATTGCCACCAACTGTCCACAGGAAACAAATTCAAGTTCAAATACTACACAGGGTATCTTTAAATGTTGTGGGTGAAAGCTGGAACTGAAATGTCTCATACATTAGGAAACAGTATAGTCACTTCTACAAAAATAAAAGCAGACCACCACAGACCAGAATGGATTACCTAACTCAAACAAGTCTCTGTAAACTGACTTTAACATTATGCTGAAATTAATGAAAACGAATGATCTCATTAAAGAAAGACAAAAAACATCTGAAAATCTCAATACCTGTTGCACTTTGAAAATGTTTCTTTACTTAAGTAAACGTGATTTCTTCCAAATGCAGAAACACTGGTATGGTCCTTTATGAATGCTTTGTCAGAACAATGTGAATGTAGTATAAATACAGGAAAAAACATAACATCCTAATCTGAAAGAAAGTAACTCTTGTGCTTTTTTTTCTTCCATTGCGATCAACAAATGCTTTACATTCCACAAATACGAGTGCAGTGGAACAAGTTCTGTGCTAAAATGACAAAACAGACCAAATATTAACTTGTATCTTCATGGTCTGTGATCTCGAATGGGACTGTTATTCTACTGATGCTTTTAACTGAGATCAGATTTTTCATTGCTCACAGTCTCTTAAATGCAAACAGCTGCTAAAAACTCCTTCAACACAGAACAAAAACTGTGGAATCACCTTTTGTGAGAGGGGGGTAAGGGAGGTGTGTAAGGCTATTATGCCAGCCTATTCCAAAAATGTACCACATGAGAAGGAAAACAAAGTTCACTCAGGGAAAGTGAAAGTCAAAACTGAAAAACCAACCCACAGAGAGAGCATTGAGAGGGAGAGAGGAAATCTTTGCCACCACACACACAGGTCGAAAAAAAAGGAGCAGAGCTTAACAGTTTGCAGTTTTTTTTCTTTCCAGTTATGATGTATTACCCGGTATTTATACCTTGCTCCTGAAGAGGGGCTTAGCGCCGGGGCCACAGTACTCGTTGTATATGAGTTTGAAGAGGAATAGGTGGAAGAGTGTTATGAGCGAGGCCACGCTGAACCAGAAGAGGAAGGGCAGGCCTGGGTACCTGTTGGCCATGTGCTCCTCATGGGCCAGAATGGCCTTGAGGTGCAGGGTGTGGCGGAGATCCTGCAGGTGGCGCAGGTCTGTGGAGATGTACAGGAGTGGTGTGATGGGCTGTGTCACCATCACAGGGAAGGTGTGACCTTTGATCTCTGATGTCAGTTCCACAGGCTCGTTGAGGCAGCCGGCCTCACAGGCATACAGCTTCACTGGTTTCTCCTGTGGCTTCACCGACACATGAAGAAAAGGTTTCCCCTCCACATCAAGCAGCACTGCCAGGTTAATAAGGTCCTGGTTGTAGTGAATTCCTCTCAGGGCATAGCTGTTGTGCAGCACATCTGGGTCAGCCTGAAACTGAAGGTGGTTTTCTGTGAACTGAAGGCCGCCGAAGCTGAGCACCATGCCCTGCATGGCTCCGTGGGCTCCAGCCGCCACCAGCACTTTGCAGCCTCTCTTCTGCAGTGTCAGAGTCCACAGCGTGACTAGCTGCAGGATCTGAGCAGTACTGCTCACCCTCTCGGGCCACAGGTTCTCTGCGTGCATGGTGGCGTGGCCGCTGAAGCAGTGGTCGGCATAGTTGAGGCTGGACTCGAGATGGGCGCGCTCCTCGCCACTCAATCTTCGATCCAGCAGGGGAGCCACAAAGGAGGACAGGATATAGTAGAGGGTGGTGTTCACTGTGCGACTCGATGGTGTGTGGGAGTCTGTTATCTTCCTCATTTCAACACCTGAAATAACAAAGGAGCAGAAGCACAACTTCACAAAAACCTGGCATGTAGTGTAGGGCTGTGCGTTATACCGGTACCTACCGAAAACCGGTATTTATTTTCGTTATGATATGAATTTTTCATATACCATGATACCGGTGAATAGCCCAAACAACGTCCGGAACGTGCGAGGCGGGAAAATGTTTCAGCTGGGACCCATTTCACCGCTGCACACCACAGGCGTGCTAGAGCCAGCAAGAGTGAGGCCCAGTTCCAATCCGGCCCCTAAAGACTCAAGACCTGGAGCCTCACTGACTTAACTGACATCAGCTGTAAGTGATTGAGTGTGAGAGTCTGAAAGGGCTCCGGATGCTACAAATAGGAATGGGACAGCACTTATCCCCCTCTCTACAAAATGTTGTTGACACTGGCGGCTCTGGGCGTGATCATTTATCGGTAATTGTCAGCATATATTCCACACACAAAGAATATATATCTATAGATATAGATATATATTCTTTGTGTGTGGAATATAACCACTGGTATTCCTCTGACTTCATGTGTGTTTATGTACCATCTTAAATCCTTGTTAATGTAATGTTTCATTTTTTATCTATCTGTTTTTTTTTCGGTCTCCTTCCGTAACGTTACCGTTTGCATATCTGCCGACTGTGTTTTCGTTTTTTTTATAATACTTCCGGTGTTCCGAGGGCAACCCCTGTATTTGATGTCACAACGCTATGAACTGTGGGTAATTTCCTTACCGTAAGTCCGCATCGATGCTGACCTACGGTAAGGGGGCATAAAGGGCTCACTCACTGACTCACTGACTTGACGATTTGACAATGGGATAGCCCTCACACACTCACACACTTCACATGAACGCGCCTCTAAGTCAGTGAGTCTTTAAGGGATCGGATTGGAATTGGGCCTGAGAGCATAGAGAAAAGTTTAGAGATGAGAATGGCTGCCGGAGAGAGTTCTGAAAGCGAAGCAACTGTACACGATGACCCAGAAGAACTCGTAGCAAAAAGAGCAGTGTTTCCCCTATATGCAACTAGCAGTGGCGTACTGCTGTTTACAATTCTCCCCTGCTCTCTGTATCGTGTACGGCGGAGTTTCGCCCCGATGGCGTTGTCAAATAAATAACAAATTCCAGCACTTGAATAGGCCATAGCACAACACAGCAGCATGTCAAATAACCGTAACCAATATGATTTTTTAAAAAAACATATGAAAATTTTGTCATACCGCCCAGCCCTAATGTAGTGTATTTCCAAGGATCAATTACTATGACCGTCAAATATTATTCTGGTCGATGGAAACAATGGTTTGACTAAAATCTTGACTCAACGTTGACCGTGATTATTTTATATCTGTTTTCACACATTAGAGACACCTTTTTCAGCTGTAGCTCTTTTATTTCCACTCTGAATTGGAGAGCTTTTAATTTATGGCTGTGCTCCACATCGCATACTTTTTCTCTTTACTATCTTTTTACTACTTTTACTACACTACTTCATCATAACACTGCACTTTGAACTTTGACCCTCTTGTTTGACGTCATCTCTTTATGTTACCTTATAAAGCACCATCAGCTGAGCTTGCCACTGACAAAAGGTCAAACCACTGAGCTGTGCTGATGATACTTTGCAATGGATGTAGTTTTAAGTTATAACTGTACATTGTAGGTTTTAGCATGCGGTTTTATAATCACGACAGTAAAATTACATATGCATTTCTCCTTCATCGTTATTTTCTTAGTTATTTCCTATTGTTTTTGGTTATCTTTATGTTTATTTTGTTCACTTAAACAATTCCTATTCCTATTATCACTATCCATTCACCTGGTCATCTGTCACTAGAATGTGCTGTCGTCTGTCACTGCAGCTTCTGTCAGCTGCCAATCAGCTGCCAATTACGTGCCAATCAGCTGTCAGTCAGCTGTTATCTGTCTGTTGCTCAGTTGTTGTGACGTTTCTTCTACTCTGCAGAGGACTGTGGGACAGAATAGCCAGAAAAACATGCTGGCATGCATACTGCGAAAAAGCGACCACATGCAGTAGGATATCCTGGTATTTTTGCCATACAGTATTTGACATATTATGGATGGGGGCATACTTTTCTGGCATACTAAACATTAGGATAAGGTAGTACGGGTATTGAAACGCACAGTAAATTTCCAAATATCAATCTGACTTCAAAATGACAGCACACCACCTCAAGGTTGTCACTGGGAAACTTCCTGTTTCCACAGACCAACTTCATTTCAAAATAACAGTACACCACCTCAGAGTTTCACGTAAACAATATCAGGACATTTTGATGTGATACTTCAAAATTAAAGCACTCTAAACTGTCATATCGCTATGAGCTGTATTCCCTCTAAGGTAGGGCTGGCCGATAAATCGATTTTATAGATTAATTCGAATTTGAGTTTAGGTTGATTTGTTTTAAAGAAAATTGATTTTCTCTTTAACATCCACCACCGACGCTTCCCACTGGGCTCCTGTAGTTTGGAGTGGGCCAAACGATTTCAAAAGTAACGAAATCGAAGGTAAACGATTTTTGGTCATGGACACCTGGAGATGTTATTTTGTCTTCTACGGAAGTCGCGCATGCGCAATACCGCCCCCTCCCCTCCTCTCCTTTATTCACTCCACAAGCCAGTCAAGTAGGTGAACTACGAATAATGCGAGGAGCAGGTGATTGCGGAAGATTTTAAAAACAGCGTGCGGAAAAAGGCAGAGGGAGAGCGAGAGAGGTTGGTCTGTGTGTGTGTGTGTGTGTGTGCACGTCTGTGTGTATGCGTACGTTTCTGTGTGTGTGTGTGTGTGTGCGCGCGCGCGCATATCGGGGGCAAACTCCGCCGTGCACGATACAGAGAGCAGAGGAGAATTGTAAACGTGCTGCCACGTAGAGATAGAAATGACATGGTGTCCTGTAAACAATATAAGTCATCATGTCCGCCGCATAATCGTTTGCATAATCGTGATTTCAATTTTGACCAAAATAATCGTGATTATGATTTTTTCCATAATCGAGTAGCCCTATTGCAGACTCTGTGGTGGTTCCAAAAAGAGAAGCAGCTTCAGTAGTGTGGAATAAACTGTGGTGTCCTGAATGTCTTATGAACAGCCCCGGACTTCTCAGACTCTTAGCGATTTACCGCTCAGAGGGAACTCTTTCAGCGGCTCCTCTGGCAGCAGCACAGCATCACTCCATCTCCTCTCTCACTGTGCGCACACGGGAGTCCGCGTCGTCAAGTGATTTTGTAATAAACCTTTGGTAATGTAAACCTATGTGACTACATAAATGTGAATGTGCAGTACTTAAGGTAGCATAACATCCAGTCACAGTTTACAGTGTGATGATTAGAGGAGAAATGGCAGAGCATAAAGGTCCAGGTGGAAAAAGAAACAACTTAATAATTTAGGATTTTGCTAAAAGAGAAGGAAATCACCTGTTAATATACATATACATATACATATATATATATATATATATATACAGTACAGGCCAAAAGTTTGGACACACCTTCTCATTCAATGCGTTTTCTTTATTTTCATGACTATTTACATTGTAGATTCTCACTGAAGGCATCAAAACTATGAATGAACACATGTGGAGTTATGTACTTAACAAAAAAAAACATGTTTTATATTCTAGTTTCTTCAAAATAGCCACCCTTTGCTCTGATTACTGCTTTGCACACTCTTGGCATTCTCTCCATGAGCTTCAAGAGGTAGTCACCTGAAATGGTTTCCACTTCACAGGTGTGCCTTATCAGGGTTAATTAGTGGAATTTCTTGCTTTATCAATGGGGTTGGGACCATCAGTTGTGTTGTGCAGAAGTCAGGTTAATACACAGCCGACAGCCCTATTGGACAACTGTTAAAATTCATATTATGGCAAGAACCAATCAGCTAACTAAAGAAAAAC